GATTATTAATATAAATATTATAAAGTTTATTATTCTCCCTCCCCATTCCCCTGCTGTTTTTCTTTTTTTTTTTCACCTTTGGGTTCGCGCGAACCCAGGTTCGTCGCAGAACCCAGCGCCTGGGTTCATCGCGAACCCAGGCGCTGGGTTCGCCTCAGAACCCAAGCGCGGGGTTTGCCGCGAACCCAGCTCCTGGGTTCGTCTCCGAACCGAAGATGAGGGGATTTTCGGTTTAGGGGGAAAGAAAATGAGGAAGAATGTAAGTATTTTCGGTTTGTTGGATATTTTTGGTTTGTTTCTCTGATTGGATGAGGATTTTCGATTTGTTTCTCTGATTGTTTGATTGGATGAGGAAGAAGAAACAACAGTGGCTGTGATGTTATAAAATGGCCCTTTATATAGTGGTTTTTTTTGTAAATAAAAAGAAATGTGAGGACAAAATGGGGATGGCAGGTCAATTTCATTATAATCTGACTAGACTTTAGAGGATTCATGTGTTGGTTTTTTTTTTTTTTTTTTTTTTTTTTTTTACTTTCTGAGCTTTTTTCTTGGCAATCATGTTCACTGTAATTTGGATGGAGAACCAGAGGTTTTGCTTCATTCCAATGTACTTGGTGAAGACGGAACTGTGTCCTGGAACAAAATGTCTGTCAGCAAGGATGGCAGGTACCAGGCATATGGGCATAGTTCAAGTGGTAGTGATTGGGTAACCATCAAAGTAAAACGCATTGAGGGTAAGAGTGAGACATTTGAGCCTGATACTTTACAATGGGTGAGTTACTTTCTTCTGCTGCATAAACTGGATGGAGAGTCCTTTAATGAGAATGAGAGTTACTGTCTGTAATATGCATCTTTTGTTGTTGCAGGTCAAGTTTTCCCCTGTTAACTGGACTCATGATAGCAAAGGCTTTTTCTATAGCCGCTATCCAGCTCCCAAGTAAGTAACAAGATGTTTTGATCATATTTTGCAACTTCTATGTCTAAGACGTTCTGGAAGAAAGTAAGTAGTTGATTTATTGTTCGGTTGTAATGAAAATTTTAGAAAGTTAATCAAGGAAAATGCCTGAGTTTTCAAATCCTGACTGTAAATGGGCAATAGGCATTTAGGACTAGAACAACGACGACGAGAATTGTTAACATTGTGAATTTGAACTACCTTTGAGTTGTATTAGATTTTTATATTTAAAAACAGTCAATTGTATTTTTATTGTGTAGATGGGGAGAGAACATAGATGCTGGGACAGAAACCAATGCAAACCTCTATCATGAGCTTTATTATCATTTCTTGGGTACGGATCAATCAGAAGATATTTTATGCTGGAGAGATTCTGAAAATCCTAAGTTCATGTTTGAAGGTTTTGTTACGGAGGACGGGAAGGTTAGTTTATATTTATGAATTTATCTATATGTTTTAAAGTACAATTTAATGGCATTTTTGTTCGTATTTATTTTCCATTTGTTGGTACTCACTATTATGAGGGTATCATTGTGTATTACAGCACATAGATATAGAGCAATGCATATAAGGTGATTTCATGATGGTTTTTTCTTGTTTAATTTGAAAATTTAATGATTTCAATGCTTTATGATTTATAACAGATTTTTTGAAATTTTAATTTTCCAAAGATGGTTGTTCTTTAATTGCATTGCACGGGTCACTTTTTTGTATAAGTTGGCTATACTGATATCTCACGTCCCACAATGTTGATTAATTTTTGCAGAATTCCATTTTTTTCCCTAAAATTTGATTTGAATTAATCTAACATTTTATGTCACTGTACAGTACCTTCTCTTGTATATCTTGGAGAGTTATGGCACAGTTAACAAAGTATATATACCACTGCGACATGTCTGCACTTCCTGAAGGTCTTCAAGGTTTTAGGGGAAAAGATTTGCTGCTCCCATTTGTTAAACTGATAGATCAATTTGATGCACTGTATAGAGCTATTGCAAATGATGACACATTATTTACTTTCCGGACTAGTAAAGGTGCACCAAGATACAAATTAGTCCATGTTGATCTAAAGGAACCAAATAATTGGATTGACGTTATCCCAGAGTCTGAAAAAGATGTCCTTGAATCAGCAGATGCTGTTAATGGTAATAAGATGATTGTGAGGTATCTAAGCAATGTGAGGAATGTGCTTGAGATAAGGGATTTAAAAACAGGTTCATTTCTGCATCAGTTACCACTTGGCATTGGGACAGTTCATCAGATTACTGCTAAGCGGGAAGATGATAAGTTTTTTATTTATTTTTCAAGCTTCCTTACTCCTGGTATTACATATGAGTGCAACTTAGGAGCTGCAGGTCCTGATATGAAGATAATCCATGAAATTTCTGTACCTGGATTTGATCACACAGAATTTGATTTCCATCAGGTATATTACTGCTGTTTTTTTCAGATTTTGGTGATATCAGGCTTTTGATTAGGTTGCAGTGCATTCATCATTTTTCTGTTTCCAAAACCCAGGTTTTTGTCCCCAGTAAGGATGGTACCAAAATCCCAATGTTCATTATGGGCAAAAAGAATGTTGATTTGGATGGATCACACCCTTGTTTATTACATGGATATGGTGGATTTAACTCCAGTAACACAGCATCATTCGATGAATTTCACATTTTACTAGCTAGGCATTTAGGTGCCTTTATCTGTATTGCAAACATTCGTGGTGGGGGAGAGTATGGAGAAGAATGGCATAAAGCAGGTTCACTTTCCAAGAAGCAAAATGTATTTGATGATTTCATTTATTGTGCAGAGTATCTCATATCAGCCGGCTATACCCAGTCAAGCAAGTTGTGTATTGAAGGTTCGAGCAATGGTGGGCTTCTAATTGGAGCTTGCATAAATCAGGTGATTGATCATTTGCGACTTGTTTCTTTTCTGGCCACCTTTTACTATGACTGAACTGAGGTCAGATTTAAACTTGGTTGGCAGAGACCTGATCTTTTTGGTTGTGCTTTGGCTCATGTTGGTGTGATGGACATGCTACGTTTTCACAAGTTTACCATAGGTTTGTTCATTTGCAACCTTTTACCACATAATTGTAATATCAGGATTTTGTATTGATTAAGATTTTGTTTTCAAGGCCATGCATGGACGTCTGATTATGGTTGTTCGGAAAATAAAGAAGAATTCCATTGCCTAATCAAGTAAGTAAACTATTATTTTATGAAAACTTCTAGTCAACACTTTTCTTTAAGGTATACTCCATCTCCCTCAACCGAAGCATACCTGTAGTTTTCAGATACCTTTGTACTATCTGTTTGATAGAGATGGCGTCCCACCAATATAGAGATAAATATAGCTAAAACATAATCAAACTTCCTAGAATTTATTTTATCATAAAAAATGAACTTTGACACATTTTAGGCTTAGGTATCATCATTTAAGTGCCCAGTGTCTGAAACCCACAAACTCTTTAGTTTGTATATGTATGTATATATAAAATTGAAGCTTATTTTATGAGCATGTTCTACAAGTAATTCTTTTGTAATTGGAAAAGAAAATTCTTATTTTCAGATGAAAATTTCATGTCTTAAATTATTCAGCTGTCGTTAGGAGACAAAGATACTTGGGTTCATTATTCAACTAGTCTGGTCCTAAATTGAAAGCTTATGTATTGCAATGAGATTCGTACCTTCAACAAACATTTAACCCCATGCTCTTTTTAGGTATTCACCACTGCATAATGTAAGGAGACCATGGGAACACTCTGATAAACCATCACAGCATCCATGCACAATGCTATTGACTGCTGATCATGATGATCGAGT